TGATTAAAAAACACTATGAACTAAGTAGAAGGGAAATTCCTCAACATGATAAAGACCATATATGAAGAACCCACTCTAACATCATACTCAAGAGTGAAAGCTTTTCCCCTAAGATCAAGAAGATAAGGATGCCTGTTCTTATCACTTCTATTCAACAGCTTTCTTAGGGGAAAGCTTTTCCCCTAAGATCAAGAAGATAAGGATGCCTGTTCTTATCACTTCTATTCAACATAGTATTGGAAGTTCTAGACAGCAATTATGTAAGAAAAAGGAAAGGAACTCAATTTGGACAGGAAGAAGTAAAATTATCTCTGTTTGCAGACACCATATCATATACATAGAAAAGCCTAAAGAATCCATACGCAAACAAAAAAACTGTTAAAGCTAGTAAGTGAATTCAGCAAAGTTGCAGAATATAAAACCAACATACAAAAATCAATTGTATTTCTATACAATAGCAATTAAAAAGCAGAGAGAAAAGCAATTCCATCTACAACAGAATCAAGAAGAATAAAATACTTAGTAATAAATTTAGCCAAGGAGGTGCAAGGCCTCTGAAAGAAATGAAAGAAGATCTAAATAAATTGAATGTATCAGAAGACTTATAGGTGTTCCCATGTTCATGTATTAGAAGATTTATTATTGTTAAGATGACGATACTACTTAAAGCAATCTAGATTCAATGCAATCCCTTTCAAAATCCCAAGGATTTTTTTTGCAGAAATTAAAAACCCTCATCCTAAAACTCATATTGAATTTCAAGGGACCTTGAATAGTCAAGACAATCTTGAGAAAGAACAAAGTTGTAGGACTTGCACTTCCTGTTTGAAAACTTTCTACAAAGCCATGGTAATCAAAATAGTATGACACTGGCATAAGGACAGACATATAGACTGATAGAACAGTGAGCCCAGAAATAAATCCTCACGTATTTTGTCAATTGATTTTTGACAAGGGTACAGAGTCCATTCAATGAAGAAAGGACAGTGTCTTCAAGAAATGGTGTTAGGACAACTGGATATCACCAGAAAAAGAAGGAAGTGGGGCCTTTACCTCACACCATATGTAAAAATTAACTCAAAATGGATCAAAGACATGAAAGGAGCTAAAACTACAAAACTCTTAGAAGAATACATAGGGGAATATCTTTATGACCTTGGATTTGGCAATGGTTTCTTAAAAATGACACCACAAGCATAGGCAACAAAAGAAAAAAAAATACATAAATTGGACATCCTCAAAATTTAAAACTTTAATGCAAAGCACACTATCAAGAAAGCGAAAAGACATCCCACAGAATGGGAGAAAACATTTGCAAATCATACATCTGATAAGGATTTAATATCCAGATTATACAAAGAACTCCTACAACTCAATACCAAAAAGAAATCAATCTAATTTAAAAATTAAATAGACACGTTTCCAACGAAGATACACAAATGGCCAATAGGCAGATGAAAAGATGCTAGTCATTAGGAAAATGCAAATCAAAATCACAATGATATGCCACTCCACACCCACTAGGATGGCTATAATTTTAAAAACCTGGAAAATCACAAGTGCTGGTGAGGATGTGGGGAAAGTGGAGCCCTCATGCATTGCTGGTAGAAATGTAAAATGGTGTAGCTGCCGTGGAAAACAATTTGGTGGTTCCTAAAAAAGTTAAACATAGAATTACCATATGACCCAGTAATTCTGCCTCTAAGTATAAACTGGACAGAATTGAAAACAGAGACTCAAACATATACCTGGGCACCAATGTTCATAGCAGGATTATTCCAATAGCTAAAAGGTAGAAACACTGCAGTGTCTATCAACAGATGAGCAGGTAAACAAAATGTTTTATATACACAAAAGGGAATGAAGTTCTGATACAAGGATACTTCAAAAAGTTCAAGAAAAAACAGAATTAAAAGACAATATGAATCTTTCCATGAACTTTTAATTTTAAAGTACCCTCATACATGCTACAACATGGATGAAC